TGAGCTGAATACAGTTTGTATAAATCACACCACAGTAGATTAAGACACCTGAAGTTTTTCAAAATATTTAGGCCCTTAAAGATGAAGATAGACATCCGTCTGTGGGATTTTCACAAGTTCCTAGATGTCTAAATATAATTTGGAGAATGCGTAATTGGGAGTTTGGCACTTAATGCATTTGAAAATCTCACTGGGCTTTACTCATTTTACCCCAAAAGTCTAACTTTGAATTGACCTTTCAGCAAGCAGCGTTGTTTCTTCCCCTCTTCACCCCTGTTTTATACTGTCTTGGCTTTAGCAGTGTTGTGTGCTTCATTTACACTGGAGCACAGAAGAGAAGAGTCATGTCCAAGGAATGTCTCTTTGGACACATATCTAGATTCTGCTTCCAGTTCAGGATTAATTCCAATAGCTCTGGTGCCACTGAGATCAAACCTCACTCTGTGCACAATTGCTGCTTGATATTTATGGTACAGTCTCGATTCACCAGATAGTAAATAGGCAAAATATATGTCACATCTACCAAGATGGAGTAACCCAAGAGGCTCAGCATCTCTGCAGTCCCTTTAATATTAAAAACACCAAAAGTATGCAGTTATGTGGTGATCCATTTGGGAGCTTACATGTGCTAAGATATATAGATTTAATATTTCACTTTGCAGAAATGGTTTATTTCCAGCAGTAAATACGATGTTTGTGAATGAGAATAGGCTATTTCAAACTGTTATAAGGCCACTGAATAATTGAATTATTACTCATCAGAGGGCAGTGTAATTTGTTACCTGTGTGATTCCAACACTCTGAATCAAAGTAATTACATTCATGGTGTCATTTAGTGAAATAATGCCGTGAAGGTCTCTATGAAGAGAGAGGCAATTGCTGAAAGGATTTTGTTGAAATAATAGCACCAATCCAATTGGTCCTCTTGCTTCATTCATTGTTACTTTATTATATGGCTAAACAGCTCATTCATGTGCTTTGCTGGAGTGAAAAATATGAGCTTTGGAAACGGTATCTATGGAGGAAAAAATGTACAGCTTCTGAGGGGAAAGCACCAAATAGTCATTTTTAGTATCACAAATGTGCAAATGGCAAATGGTAGATTAAATTTATAAAATAGAACACAAACGCAGATTTTAATATACTTTGAAAGTTCAGTGGCGAGATTCCACTAGTTTTGTCTAGTGCAAAGAACTGTTGGGAGATGTCTGGAGACTGTTTCAAACCATGGAGCAGTCATTTCCAAACCTCATGAACTAGGCTTCAGAAAAATATGAAATCGGTAT